TTGGTACACACAAACACAATGTGGCTATTGTTGTCCAAGTGTTATAACTGTGAAAATTAAAGTATTTCTATGTGCCAAAATTAAATATCTGTGATTGAAGGTGTTCTGTTACTCAGCTAGGTGTTTTTAATGCTAAGTGGTTCATGAAAATAAAATGTTGAAGGTGTATTAACATGTATTGGCACTGAGGCACTCCAGCTCTGACTGAGAATATAAGGCATGAATCTATGCAGCTCTTTACCTGCTCCACACAGTTCCACTCTCTTGCCTTTGGGTGGGGTCTCCATTGTTACATCTGTTTGATTTGATGATCTTAGGGGTCTGTTTCAATCTAAATTCTGTGATATATTGTTGCAGGTGTATCCTTTAACTCTTTTACAGCTGAAAGAGAAATGCAGGAAATTGTTTAGGTAGGACAAAAATCAGACAAGGTACTGCCCCCGCCACTCCCCAAATATTTTCTTAGCATTTAGCATTATTCTTTATAATTTGTGAAGTTTCTTTGCACTGAAGTGGCTGGTTAGGTACATGGTGTGCATTGTATTTCTAGCTCAGCCACTGTTGTTACTTCTGGCTGAGCCATCTCACCTTGCTGGGCTTCCTCCCTCCAGGCTTCTGGGAGAGCACGAAGCACCATGAGAGATAAAGTGTTTTGTTGTCCAACAGTCTGTTCACATTTCATTTCTTCCATATGCAATAAGTGGGAACATGTTTACTTTGGAAATGGATGTAGAAAACAAGAGGTGATGGGTTTTACACACTTTCTATATACCTCTCTTTAAAAAGGAGTTTCTGAGGTGGTTTATTCTGACAGAAATCAGATATCTGTCAGGAATGGAGCAGTGATTATTTTTAATAAATATCATAATAATTTTCACACAGCCTCTCCAGCTGACAATTTTTTCAGTCTCTATCAAAAGTATTAAAAGAATAATGCAAAAAGTGTCTTTTTTTTCCCCCTGAAAGATGTAGGTTCAAGGCTATTTGTTCATTTGCTAACACAAAAACAAAAAATTTCAAAAATTGCTGCTCTTTAAGTAACAATTATTTTCTGTAAAGGGAGGTGAGCTCTTTTGCAGGTAACACGAGGATATGAGGCTGTATCTGGCACTGCAGGTGGCTGTATCCTGGCACAGCACAGCGCCAGGGAAGGAGACCCTGTGCGCTCTTGTCCTGTCACTCTGAGATGTTTGTCAATGCAGTGTGCCACATTATGGCTAAGTGAACTGCCTGGGCTCATCAGAAGAGCATTTGGTCATTACCAAAGTTTGCACTGGGACTTGCTCAGTATCTCTTTTGATAAAGCAGTCAGCCATCAATTAGGAGACAGAGCTTAAGGGACAAAGTTTGCATTTAAATAATGGCTGTTGGTAGCTCTGAAGGAGCTGTTACTGACATACTCTGAACAAACAGGATTTTAAAGACTCACTTTAATAATTTTCAAAAAACCTCTTGATGTTTTCCTGCTCTCTCATGATGGCTAGGGGTTGGGTTCCTGCAAGATCCCCATGCCCAGACTTTTCTTTTGGTTAGGACCATGCTGAAAAATACCAGTCTCCTGGCATGAACAGAGCACGGATTTCCTTGTGGCATCAGAATTAGGCAAGTGCTGCAGAGCCTGAGCTCCCCAGGTGAAATGAGGTATGGGGGCCAGACCCCCCTCCCAGCTCCCCATTTCATGGGCAGGGTTTGTGAGCAATGGCTCTGGATTTGGCTTGCCAGGTTGAATTTGGCTGCATCTCCACCACGGACAACCACTCTCCATGCAACAGCAGAGAGATGGAGATGATGGATAGAGCTGCTGGCCCTCTGTGTCAGTCTTGGGCAAGACAGGCTTCTGAGACAGGGAATGTCTTCACATTGCTGTCTGGGTGAAGGGGAGAGCCTGTGTGTAGGAGAGACAGTGCCTCCCAGAAGAACAGGCACATGCCACAATGCAGATGATTGATGTATTTCTGGGGGAAAAAATAAGCAAAAAGGGTGCTAAGCATGTTGGAGGTGGGCTGTGATGTCAAACTGCCTGTAGCATTCCCAGTGGGGACAATTATCAGCATTGGGTTTACTCTCTGTGCTGATTTCCTAGAAAGACTTTTATTGCTTTATTTAAAGCTTACTTGCATTTTGCTGCAGTGTTATTGATTAGCTTATGCAACATGATGGATGTCAGACTGCTGCCACCAAAAAGAGCTCAGTCAGTGTCACAGTCGTGGCTGGCTGTTGTGGAGACCCTGAGGGATTTAGTGAAAGCCTCTCCAAAGTCTGCAGTGGAGCTGGAGAGTGGGCACTGCCCAGTGATCCAAGGCAGGAATGGCCTGGGGCTGCAGGCAATGCTGTCCAACACACAAAAGTTTAAAAGCTGATGGAGCCCTAAAAGGGAGATTAAAGACCACTGAAATGATTTAAAACTCCCTTTGACATACTCAATAGTCTATAGACTATATTGCTTAAGACTAAAGGCAGGTAAAAACAGAATCCCTATATGTGTCTTCAGGATCCCAAGGTGCCTGTGAGGGCAAATATTGTTGTGGGGAGACGTTGTGAGTGAGTCTGTGGCAAGAAAGAACAGACAGCTGGACTGGATGCCTGCAGATGTGTGCAATTCATGCACCCCACCTCTGCGCAGGAGCTGCTGCACAGGCACAGCCCACAGCCCCGATGTGGCATGGCCTGGCTGAGCCATCCCTGCCAGCACTGAGATCTGAGGAGGGGTTTTTAATGTATTGTTGATAGAGTCAGTTGAAACATTCCAGGGTATGCCATTTGGTGTGTTTGCTTTATTTCTAGCTTGGAATATATGTCTATACAAACATAAAAATCAATGCTAAATTGAAATTTGTCCAAAACCCAGATTAGCACAAATCTGACATTATTTTGCCACCAGAAATTAAAATGAGTTGTTTAAAATTCCAGATTGGATCCACTAAATAGACTGACATGTAAAAGAAGACTATTTTGGTGACAGAGGCTCAGCTTTTCCTTCTAGAGTAAATTGTGGTGATGCCACTGACATGCCTGAGGGAAAGGACGCCACCCAGAAGGACTTTGACAGGTCTGAGGAGTGAACCTGTGTGAATTCTATGAGGTTCAGCAAGGCCAAGTGTAAGGTCCCACACCTGGGTCAGGGCAATCCCAAGAACAAATACAGGCTGGGCAGGGAATGCATTGAGAGCAGCCCCGAGGAAAAGGACTTGGAGCTCTTTGTGGATGAGCAACTCCACACGACCCAGCTCACAGCCCAGAGAGACAACCACATCCTGGGCTGCACCAAAAGCAGTGCAGGCTGCAGGGAGAGGGAGGTGATCCTGTCCTACTCTGCTCTGACGAGACCCCACCTGGATCCAGCTGCATCCAGCTCCAGGTTCCCCAGCACAGGAAGAACATGGAACTGTTGGAGCAGCTGCAGAGGATGGGCATGAAGATGATCAGATATTTAAATTGAAAGAGGGTAGTCTTAGGTTGGTTTTAAGGAAGGAATTCTTTACAATGAGGGTGGTGAGACTCTGCAACATGTTGCCCAGAGAAATTGTGGATACCCCATTCCTGGAAGTGCTCAGTGTCAGTTTGGTTGGAGCTCTGAGCAAACTGGTCTAGAGAGAGGGCAGGGGGGGTTGGATTAGATGATCTCTAAAGGTGCCTTCCAACCCAACCCATTCTATGTTTTTTCTAGAAAATTCAGTCCTATCTGTTTACTGGATGCTGTTATTTAGTACCTGTGCTGTCTTTCAAACACTTACAGCCCATGTATTTTTGTGGGCTTTGCAGGGAGGTTTTTGAGATGTGCAGGCTGCAAGGAGTGAATGGTGGGGCTTTTTCTTTCCTCTCTATGTCTCAAAATTCAGCACACACAGACTGTGAGCTCTTGTGAGCACCAGGGTCCTCCAGGCAAGGGTAACAGCATTTTAAATTTTTTCTTTCTTTCTACCCTTCACCAAGCATTATTCAACGTGATTTCCACAGTCCTTTTGCTGTGCTGCTAGCCCAGCAGTCAGCTTCTCCTACTCACTGAGCTCAGTGGGAGTTCATACAGAAGCTTATCAGCCTCAAAATTAGCCCTGGGAAGAAAAAGAGCTGCCAGAGTGCCAGTACAACCACTGTGTCTCACATCACTGTGGTCCCTCCCACAAGCTAACTCAGCTTTCCCACCATGTAGCCCCCCACCTTGCTAGATCTGGCTTCTACCCAGCTGAAAGTGCGATCTGTTTTAAGCATGGGCAGGCTTGGGTGCTGCTTCTAACCCAGAAGGAGTGAGGTCCAGCACCCACCTGCTCCTAATGGGGGTAGTTGTGATGATTTCTCAGGTAACCTTGAAAATGGAGGTGTATGAGTTCATTTCCAAAATGGAAAACAACAAGCAGTGAATCCCTTTGCATTACTTAGTTTTAAATTTAGTTTGTATACACTGACTGTTTTTATTGGTGATTCATTTGCAATAAAAGTTTGCATCATAGCATCAGAGAAGCATAGCTCATAGCAGGGGGAAAGAAGACAGAACTCCAGATGCCTTGGCATCTGCTGAGATGGATGTAGCATTTCAGGCTATCCTAGATACATTGCAATCAGATATTTTAATTAAAAAGATAATTACAGTCACATTTTTTTCTTTTATATTGCATGGATTCACACCCACAGGTGCTTTTATTGTGAATCCGAGGGATAGAACTTATTAAGAGCTTGGCTTTCAAGTAATAAATCTACAACATTGGATTAATTCCACAGCAAATTATTGGAGCTGGGGGATAGATCCTGCTCTCTCCATTCAGTAAACATGCTTCCTAATTTCCATCAGGTTTAGAAGGGTTGGCACCTTGTGTGACCTGGAGCAATCTCTGGAACTCCTATCTCCAAATCCCTCAAACCTTCACCAAACACACATGAGAGGTTCACAGCCTCCCTGCAAAAAAAAAAGTAATTTGATATTTCTTTCCAGTCTCAGACCACTGTTGCTATTTCTCATTCCAGACCAACATGGGAAATAACTCCACCACTATCACCAAAGGAAGTATGTTGCAAAAGCCCCAGAGTAGTTTTTATTTAAAATGTTACTATCATAAAATTTCAAACTATGAAATGAAGACCTTGGATTCCCATTCAAACATTACCCATCCCCCTTTTTAAAATATATTGATGCATAATCACAGAACATAAAACATGCTGCAATGATACAAATATATTTTTTCATACAGAAATTACAGTGCATAATAAACCATGAAAACAAATTGAGGCACTAGACTGAACATCAGTTCTGTTCTGCTCTAGCTGTGAAGCCGATAGACTCGCTTTCAATGAACAAAAGAATACTTGCTTGTTTAGTAAACATGACTCTACAGGTCATTTCAAACATGTGCTTTGTTGTGAGACATCACTAGGGTTGCTGGTCCTTTCAGAACCACAGCACACCTACACAACACGTGTCACTGCCACAATATGAAAAATAATGCTTTTATTGAATGTACAACTCAAAAAAACCAAACCCCTTCAGTTATTAAATAAATAATTATTTCATACAGTGGTTAGTTTATATTACACTGCATTGGCCATTAGAACAAATGAAGTTTAATAAATAACGCATGGGAACGTCTCATTTACGCCTCCGTTCGTAATTCTGTGCTATGCTCCCTTCAGAGGACCCTGCAAAAAACGAAGCAGATTGAAGCACAGGTACAGCCTTGCATGAACACCAGCAAGCACAAGAAGTGTCAGAGACCTGCAGCCAGCTGGCACCACCAGGCACCAGTAGCATGTTTGGAACAGAGACCAGGGCTCCTGGCCCATCCCTGAGCTGCTCTGGTTTGGTTTTACCTCTCAGACTACACGGTCCTCCAGAAGGCTGAAGGTCTGAGCAGTGTTTTCCACCTCTTGTCTCCTGACCTGCTTGAAGCACCGTTAACTCAGAGCCCCTTTATCTCCCAGGAATTCATCTAACTGCTGGGATCTAAGCATTCAGGCCAATTTGTGGTAGAGGGTTTCTGCACAGACATATCCACCTTCATTCCTGTGCAGTCAGCTCTTTGCCAGCGCTTTGAAACTCTCCCTGTCCACAAGCCCTGCACACAGGGATAATTTTACTGTACACTGTGGCAGGAGTAGCTCCTCAGACGTACTCAGACTACCATGCTGACAAGCTGCAGGCTAAAATAGTCTTTTATGTTTAGTAGTGGTAGATCTCTCCTTCTTGCTCATTTAAAATGAAAGTAAAATCCAGGGAGCCCTTCTTGAGCAAGGCTGTCCCCAAACCAGGGATGGAGACATCAGCATCCCCTTACCCTGCTTTGGCACCTGAGGCTGTAAATCAGCAATGTGCTCGCTCCCACAGGGACAGCAGGAATTCCTGCCCATTACCAGGAAGCTCAGGGCTTTCTGCAGAAGAAAACCACAGCACGGGGTAAAGGTCCTGCCCAGTTAAATGTCTTCCAAAAGGGAAAAGTGAGGGTAGTCCTAACACTTACTAGTCCTGACCTTGCTTTGGTTACACAGTCCTTAGGACCCATCTTCTCTGGTGGAGCAGAAAAAACTTCTTATCATTTCCCCCTCAAGCCTCCCTGGGGAGGCAGAAAAGCTGTGAATTCTAGTTTTACCTGTCAGACAGGTGTTACATAGCCCAACAGAGTAAAACATCATTATTCCCTTTTGTCAGAAATACCACACAACAGTATCCTGACTATACCAGCAATTTAGAAATTAGGGCAATAACATCTTTGCATTTTTTAAAACATTTTCTGTATTTTACATTCTCATATTAATGTAAATGTAATCCCAGTGGAAACCAACCCAAATTTATTACTTACAGGCTATTTACTTTTGTGATAGCAGATATATTTACAGGTATTATACATTTAATAGCTATTGCCACTGCAGAAAATTGTACAAAATTATTCATGATATGTAGCAATTTGCAAAATAATGCAGAGAGCAATATTACTAGTCTTGAAGGGAGTTTAATTGAAAATAAAAGTTACTGACAACCATAATTGCAGAATATAGATCACAGCATGTATCCACATAATGTAAAGGTGTCAGCTAGTAATTTAACTTTTATCATCCATTTAACAAAACAGTGAGAACTATTTCAGAGACATGAAATACATATTAGGTTTTTTATTTTTTTAATTCTTATCCTGGAGAATCAACTGATACTTTATGGTTCACAGTGAGGGATTTCCTCAGAGCAGCCCTAGAGCACAGGGAAGAAAGGTAGAGCTATGGCGAGTCTCCAGTTTCCCACAGGGGGTCTGCACATGAGGGAAGACGAGAATTCTGCCCTGTATGGACACTGTGGGAAAATAAATTCACAGTACCCATTCAGAGTTTAAAATGCTTTAGGTGAAGTCAAAAGCTGATAGAGACTGTGAATGTTAAACAGCCTCATCTGCAGAATGATGAGGTGTTAATGGCAAAGTTCTGTTCTTTCACCTTTTGCTCCAAGTCTTAGGAATAAAGGTCTCCAGAGAAGATATCCTTTTACCTGATGAGATCTGGATTTAGACCACAAGTTAAGTGACCCTTGCATTTTCAGCCTCCAAATTAAAATTTAGGTGTTTTGTTTTAATAGCACTTTGGGGACTAGCAGAACATTCAAGGACAGGACAGTCATGAAAGTGCTCTGGGGAATTCTACCTGAATTTCCTGCAGCTCAGACCAGCCTGCAGCTCAGAGTTGTTAAAAAAGATCAAGCACTGAAGTGAACTCTGAAATATCTTGGGTAACAAAGAAAATCCTGATTCCTTTTCAGACAGCTCTGTAACTACACTACATGGAAACTGCTTCTTCCATCCGCTGGGAGAGAACAAAGAGGCAACGGAATGAAGAGGCTGTATGTCACCAAGTATCAGATTTAGTCAAATACATACCAGAATTTAAAGATCTTTTGCCCATAAGTCCAACAAAGGAGTCTGTTTTATGCCCTGAAAAAATATATTTAGGGGTGTTTTAATACATTTTAACTAGGCAGGCTTTTAAAATAACAGGTTCTTGCAAGGAAAGAAGACACTGTTTGTGTCACAGACCAGTTGTTCACACCACTCTCAGACAACAGAGAACAAACAGCAGTCTGACTAATCAGACTAAACAGGATAGACCAAGGCACAGGCCAGTTAGTGGATATCTTCTCATTAGCTCAGACAGACCTTTGGTTTTGGGGGTTTTTTTAAGTATAATGGAAAACCAATGGCCACTAACAGTACAAATCTTATTTCTCTCCCGGTACAATTCCTACTGATCTGAGCAAATGCACAAGAAGGCAGTGTCTTGGTATAGCCTGCATCTGTGTGGTGCATCTCTTCTACCTGTTGTTGTTTTAGTTCTGTAACGTGGAAGAAAATCCTCCCTCACAGGTCAGGTGGAGCCCTTACTGGAGAGGAAGCCAATGGCACTCTATGTCTGGACATGTCTGAGCTAGACAGTCTGGCTCTATTTTTGGAATATTTATAAGTTCAGGTATTACCTACCTGTCCCTTTAGTAATTCTCAAGACACTGGAAGTGTAGAGGATAAATTACTCCAAGTTTAGGCCTACAATACATACCAGGTTATAGCAGTAGCTGTAGTTTCAGACAAGGAAGGAAAATGAACTATTCTTCTTTATCTGAACTGGTTTTTGAGTAAAATGTAGAAGTTTCTCTTTGAAAAGAATTTTGCTTGGTGAATTCATACACAAAGCAAGATACTCAGAATTCACATATATTAATTCAAGCTGAAGCACTTTCAGAAAACTATATTTTTTTTACTTTAGTCAGATGGTAATTTGGCATGAGCTTTGTATCAGATTCTATTTGGTCTTCCAATACATAACCCCAGAGAAAGCATCTTGTGATTAATAGAATACTGGAACAGTTCCTGGCGTCTGTGGACAGGGGAGGTTTCACAGAATAGAAGATCTGTGAATCTTCCAGTTTCTCTTTAAACATCATGAGATAATTTGAGAAAATAAAACTACCACTGTGCAGAGCGAGGTAACACCCCAGTGCTGATAGCATCTCCTGCTTGGTGTTACACAGAAGCAGAGCAAGGCACACTTACTAGGGGGCAAGATATGGCTCTTCATATGGCAGCACATCATCAATCAGCCCCTCCTGTGAGCAGGAGTCTGAATCTTAGCCAGTGCTGAGAGCACAAGTATCTTGCATGTGAGGACATGGGCGCTCCCATGAAAGCGTTCTTGGGGACTTGGGAATTCATTATTCTAATTTTCCAGATTTTGCCATCTTAATTGCTCCTCTCAGAGTCTGGCAGTAAGCCTGGCTTGCCAATGAGAAAGGCTTACAAAATCCCCCCTTGGGAAATAAGAGAGAGCTGCAACATCCACACATTAATATGGATTGAAATCTCAAAGCTTGCAGCAGCTCAGATGAGATACAGGCTCACAGTGGCACTGAAGGGGAGGTTTCAATTCTTTAATAGATCATTTCTCCACCAGTGGTGCTGCCAGTCCCTAGCTGAAACCAGTCGCCTTCTAAATAATCCTGTCAAATTCACTATTCTCTATTTGAATATCTTCTAATGATTACTTAAATACTTATTTGTATTTTTTAAACTTACTTTTGTGAGAGATCTGGCCATATCCTGATTGGAAGAGGAAAGGAAAGAGAAAAAAGAGAAAAAAAAGTTGTTAAAAAAGAATTGGCATATACATATGATGCTACTGCAATGCTTTGAAAAATCAAATACACAAACTAACCTATGCATATTCCACTTAAGGAAATTAGGGTGATGGTTTACAACTGCATTTCTCTCTGAAGAGACTAAAAACTTGTTTCAGCTTAACCCACACAATTTAGATTAGTTTAGCTCCAATTTCTTAGATCAGTTTTTGTTTGAGTAAATGTGTAGAAAACATGACAATAATTGTATATTCAACCAGTTTCCACACTTTGGTGATTCAGTGGCATGTATGCTGACCTATGAATTATCATGCTGTCTCTTACTGAGATTTACGTGTTGTAACAGGTACACACTTAAGAATTTTAAGCCCTCTCTTTTCCAATCAGTGAGTTTATCTCATATAAAACTTGAAAGAAACAACAAAGCAAAAAAACCTAAACCCAAAGCACCCGCATGGCAGCCTAAAAAACAGATGTAACACATTAATCCCGAGCGATAACCGCGTAAGGTTTGGGCAGGTACTGGAGAAGCGGCGTGAGCAGCCCCCCGCCCCGCTCACCGGCATCCCGCTTGCCCATGAGGCCGAAGAACTGCTGGGGCCGGGGTCTCCGGGCCATCCTCTGCAGAAAGTGCTCCAGGGGCAGCGGCAGCTCCTCCTGCGGGGCGACAGCGGGCGGCGCTCAGAGCGGACCCCACTCGGCCCCGGCCGGGGCAGGGCCCGGCACAGAGCCCCCGGCTCCGCGCCCCGCGGGGCTCACCTTCGCCTGCTCACCGTCGGACCAGTCGGACCAGTAGCTGAGGTCGTCGCTGGCTCCCATCTCCTCGCCCAATGCCTGTGACGAGGCCAGGAGGAGCACGGCGAAAGCCAGCGGGAGCCTCATCGCCGCCTCGACGTCCTGCGGGGGCAGAGGTTGGAGCCGCGGCAGCCGCGCTCAGCTCTGCGCGGCTGACACAGCCAGCGGGCACAGCCAGCGGGCAGACACACAGCCAGCGGGCACAGGTGCGGACACACGTACAGCCCCACCGCGCCCAGGTACACCGGCACCCCGCCTCGACTGCTGCACACCCCTCTGGAGAGACACACACCCCACAGCCATCGCAGCGGCACACAGCTCGGTGTGCCCCCCAGCACACAGACAGACACACAGACACACACAGCCAGCGGTGCCCCTTCACACGCACGTACCGGGGAAGACTTCAACACACCCTCACACGTCTATGCACATTTAGGATTCACACATTCCCAAATAAACACACGCGGACAGATACATCCCCCTCAGACACACATCCAGGTACACATGCATCCACTCACGAGCTCATGCAAAGAGCTACACACCTTAAATGCTCACACCCGCGTAGGAACGTAGCTGTCCACACAGACAAGCACAGAGACACATGTGTCTAGAGGTGCACACTCATCCCTTTGCACACCCAGACACATAAGGACAGGCACAAAAACATCCAGGCACGCACGTGCGGGCACACAAGCACGAATAGGCACCCCCACCCCCCAGAGAGGCACACACATACAGACCGGGACAAAGGAGTACACACACACCCCCCTCACAGCCGCAGGACAAGCGGACCCCTCGCACACAGGCACGGCCGGCCGGGCTCCCGCAGCGCACGCACCGTCTGCAGCGGGCGGGCGAGCGCTGCTCTCCGAGCGCATTGGCCGGCCGAGGAGCGCTCCCCACTTTATATGCCTGGAGAATGGGAGGGCCGAGACAGCCTCATTTGCCTAAATGCAATTACCCCCCGTTTTATCGTCCCAGCCCCGTGACAGCCCCCGCCCCGGCGAGCAGCCCCCGCCCCCCGCCCCGGCGGCGCCTCTCGGCTCTGCCCGGGGCCGGCGGTGCGGGCGCCCCGCGCTGCCCCCGCCGCTCCCTCCGCCGCAGCCCCGCGCCCTCGGGGCCGCCCCGCACCGTCCAAGGCGGAGGCGCGTCCCGGCCGCGGACCGGACCCGGGTGCGGACGCGGGGTGAGGGTGTGGATCTGGATGAGGAATGCGGGATGCGGGTGCGGATGTCAGGGTGCAGACGCCGCTTTTCGCCCCTGCCATCCCGCCCCGCTCCCCCAGGGCACGGAGAGCTGCTCTCCGCTGCGAGCGGCACCGCCGGGAGGGAGAGCCCCGGCGGCCCCGGCGGCCAGGCAGAGGGGCAGCCTCCCGTGTCCAGGCCACTTCCTTCCCCGGGTCTGTCTCCCTGTGCCGCTGCTCAGGCAGCCCCAGCCCACCGGCACCAAAAGTGAGGGATGCGCGAAGCGGAGGAGGACCCGGTAGGTCCGGGGTGTATGTGCCTGCTCAGGGGCTGCCGCCGCCGCCGGGCAACAGGCCGGCACCGCTGGGCTGGCTGCTGTAGAAGGCGAACGCCTGTACTGAAAGAGTACCGAGGCAGTCTCTGCAGCAGCACATCCCTGCCGGAGTCCTTCCCCTATGACAGCTTTGTCTATAAGATTGCACTTAAATAAGAAAGTTTATGACCCAGTGTGCTAAGGGTCGCTCTTGTCGACATGGGCTGCTTGAGAGTGTGGCTGAGAAAGAGTGATTTGGAGAAGGGACTTCATGCAGCCCAAACACCTGCATTGGGCACCTCCGCTGAGAGCTCGAGCGTGGGTGGAGAGAATGCTCCTCATTCTGACTATCAACAAGCTGGCAGAAGCCACAATGTTTATCAACTCTGAAACCCAAACCATCAGATTTTCATGCTGCACCTTTGCAGCATTCCCTTTGATGTGTGAACTTTGTAGTCTCTTGAAGAAAAATTGTTTTCTTGTGGTTTTGTTTATTATTTTGTTTCTGTTTACTATAGTGACAGCAGAGCACCGATCAGATGCATCAAACCAGGCTTGCCAATCCTGCAAATGTTCCTGAAGCTCATGTCGCTCAGAAATCCTGAGAACTCCCACCTTTCTATGAAGTCAATTTCTATCACTAGGAAAGTACAAATTTGAACTGAAATATCCTATCTGTTCTAATTCTCTAATTCAACATTTTACCAAAATGGATGTAACCATAACTTGACCTATGAAATTACAGGGATTTTAGATTTTGAGAGAGCAAGAGAAGGAAAATTAAAAAGGGGTCCTTTCCAGTCTCCAGACTTTAATGAATTCAAGTACTTTATCTCAGGCTTATCTAATAGTTTGGGTGGAAATGAAAAACTGATTGATAGATCAAGCTCACTTTCTCTTTCTCAATTTTAAAATAAATTGGCTGTTTAATCTTTCTTTGACCTGCAATAGCCAGACATTGCACTATGAACTTTTCAGAAAGTGGGCAGATTTCATGGCTAATGAGCAAAGCTGATTTCTAGGAAGATTTTCTGAGCTCATTTTTTTCATGTGAAAAGGATGTAGAAGGCTCAAATAAGGAAGCAAGCTGAAGCTCCTGCCTTGGTGCTGCCCAGTCCCTATCCTAGTGATGTGCTAGAGCATGGTAAAGTGCCCTTTGTGCACAAACAAAACCCCCTGTTTCACGTATTTATTCACAAGGTTCTCATAGATACAAAGCTGCCTCTTCCTCACACATGATATTAGCAACTTTATATCTATGAGTAACCTTGTGAATAAATACATGAGCTCAAAGGCAGGTACAAGGTGTCTTTGGTGAACATTCCTTCTCTACCCATGCTCAGGGCACAGACCCCACTCCCTGTTAGAGTTAGACCTTGTGATTTCTAACAACCAGTGTAAAGATTTTTGGTCATGAATCAAGAGATCATTAGATCCAAATGACCCAAATAAGGGTTAATATTCCTTGTGGAAGTGACACAGAAAGCTGCCTTCAGAGTCCTTATCCAGAAATTTCCTTAATAAGTGTTAGGAACTGGACTAAAGGCACTTGTTGTGGCTTGAATCTCAGCACTAATGGAAAACTGTTTGGGAAGCAATTGCCTGTGAAACACACCTCAGAGAATTGGTTTTCAGTAGGCTTAATGTGATACCTCCTGTGTGATGATTCTTGTGAAATGTTTATTTGAATTTTATGATGATGTTTTGGTTTCCAGTAAAAAGTCTGATCATTGAATGATAAGTTACACTGGCTGCTATACTGTTACCTAGTGATTCTTATACCATTAACAAACAGCTAATGTGTGATGGGGAAACAGCAAATTGCATATGCCCATGTACGATTTTGTGCAGAGTACAGATTTGAATTTTTTGAGTATGCACAATTTCAGAGCATTTGACATGAAATGAATGCATCTGTCTTTGTTCTTTGGTGGTCTTGTGCTATACAATTGCATACTGTACATTTAAACCTAATTTTTGTGTACATTGAGACGTTTTTTCATCACTTCACCAGAGACGCTCAAGTAACAGACAGCCTTAGGAGAGTTATTTTATGTTACTTCAAAAATTAGGGAAGAGTTGCAGTCTACCTGAGCACAGCGATCCTCTCTGTACATATACCAGACCTCAGCTCTTATTTTGATTGTTACAAGAAGACTGGAAATTTTCTTATCTAAAGATACAACTTTATAAACATTGGAAAGAGAGATCGTGATTGATGACCTCCTAAATTTTTCATAGGTATGTGTCTCCAGGGTAAATAGAATGATTTCCATTGCAGATGAGGGCTCTTTGTAACACAGTGATTTATTTTGCCGCTGTAAGATTATTTATTTGCAGTGCATCCAAGTGGCATTGGAAAAATTAGCAGAACTCACCATAGCATCCTATTTTCTAATTAAGTGTGAACAGACTATTGAATTAATCTTTCACCTTTCTTGTATTTTAAATCTTCCATTACAAATTTGTCATCTTCAATTTTTCCTTTAATGAAGGTTTACGTTTTTGGAGCATATGCTCATACATGTAAATGCATATGAGGCATACCCCACTGCATCTATAAAGAATGAGTTCTTATTCTTCTGTCTGTGAAATAAAACATTCTAGGTTCAATTAAATTGTGCTCACTGGCAGGCAAGGAGGGTAGCAGTGAGATTTCCATGCCACAGGAATGCCCTTTCCTGGGCAGGCACAGGCAGAAGCAAGGCTGATCTTACAGTCACTGAATCATCTGCTAAGAGCTAAACATGCAATGCTGGTCTTTAACTCTTACTTTGAAAAGTTAATGGGTTTCCTCACTCTTGTTCCTGTCATCTTTTACACTCCCATCACTGCTTTCCATCCCACCCATCCACTATTCTCACATCTTATCTAGAGTGAGTTTCTTTCACCCTGATCTGAGGCTCACTTTTGTCCACACTAAGTTAGACGCAAAATTGGGGTGTGGGACCAAACGGAAATAAATGTCAGGGTATTAAAATGCTGATATAAACCTACAACATGGATGTTGCAGAGGTTATCCCCTCAACCTAATGTCTCTAGAGTCAATCATCTGTAAGGGAAGTAATTGCAGTCCTGTCAAACTTCTTGGGCTCGAGAGAGAGCATGTCCTTGGAGGGGAAAAAGCACTTACTTTCATCTGTTTGGAGATCTCTGGGAAAGAAAGCTGTAAAAAGCCATCTCTGCATCTGCAGGATCTCTGGGGGAGCTGGTGAGGAGAAGGGCCTCTAGAGACATTTCTAGATGTGCATTATTTCAAAACAACTGTGAGAAGAAGTGGACTTGCTACCTGGAGATGCCTTGCAATAACTCTCCAAATGGTTTTCATAAGAAAAATGGGAGATACAACATTTGCTAATTTTGTTCAAAAAAGCTAACAGGGAATGACATTAGAACAGCACATTTCAATAGCAAATACAGGACAGTATTCCTCTCACAGTGTCTGCTGCTTTTAACCATAAAACCAGGTGTTATTTTCACATTTACCATCACCAACAAGATGGCCAGGGACAACCATGAAGTACTGTACAAAATATTTCCAAAGCTGAGGCAGACTGTGAACACCTGAGTTTGACCAGGGAAAATCTGTAATTTGAGCTCTGCTCACAGAGCAAAGGGCTCAAAGCAGCCAAAGGACAGATGCTTGAGACTAATTAAGTTTGTCACTCTTGGAAGAAAACTGCTGGCATTGCTTTGTTCTGATGCAGAGACCCTGTTTTTTTGTTTTGTACTTACTGGTTTACAAATATATTTATAAATTGGTTGATTTGTTTCAAACCAAACCTTCTGAGTCTGAAGCTCACTCCGTAAGGCTTTTTGCTTCAGTTGTCCAAGCTGATTTGTAAACTACTTCACAGTGACCTGTGAGGGTAAGGGAGGATTTAGACTTACTTCATCAACAGGTGAAAGAAAAACCCTGGCTTATAACCTGGACCCAGCACACCTTCTGTAAAGCTTTTCTGCAGGAAGGACAATTTTTTCTCTGAGACTGACCTCAGCCTTAGTAAATTTTGCAGATGGATCATCAAAGCCAGGTCCTTGGCCTGTTTTCAACACCTGAGTATCTTCTGTCTGATCCTGCCACCAGAACCTGTCCTCAGTTGCACTGACCTCTGGCTGGCTCCTGCTGTGCACAGCGGTGGTGGAGGACGATGGTTGGAGTGAGAGCCCAGGAAGTGGAAGAGCCCCGGTCGCGCCGTGGGAATACACAACAGCACTGCTTGGTTATCTGGGAAAGCCACGGACATGTCACTGTCCCACCCACTCTCTTTTGATCCCTGCGCCACAACAGCCCTCAGTGGCTGGGCACTGGCCTGGGTCGCCTTGCCTTCCACGCTCGCTTCCAGACCTTCTCCTGCAGGGATGATGAGGCATGTTTTA